CCTTGATTCATTTATTTATCAATTACTCTGCTTTATTATTTCTTTTCTGCTGTATTTGTGTTTGGGATCATTGTCTTTTTGCATGACCCAATTTCAACAAAGCTTTAGCTGTCAAACAGATTGCCTCAAATTTGACTCTAGAATACTTTGGTATTCAGTAGAATGCATGATCAAGTCAATGAATGCAAGATGAACATGTCCTGTGTCTGCACAACAAGCCCAAACTGTCAACCTTCCACCACTGTGCTTGACAGCTAGTATGATGTGCTGTGTTGTGATGTTTGCATTATGACCAAACATCTCCACTTTGGTCATTTTTGGCCCACTGCCTCAAAAGACTTCGTTTCTCACATGACTGTGAGGCTCAAGACTGACTCACTGGGAAAATTCGTAGCGAATTAACACTCCTGAAACACATGACCCACAAGTACAAAGAATTTCATGGCCGCCCTCACATTTCTCACAATGGACGCAACAAACTAACAAAGATGGAACAACACAGAATAACACAAAGCAGGCATTTTTAAGTAGCTTCCATACAGTAACCCCCCCCAAGAAAACAAAGTACCTCCACTTAAACTGCCCACAACCACAATTATTATTAATTACTTTAATGGTTTGTGGTTAATAGTGTTGCTTAAATATTTCCAGACTGTCTCCAAGGCAAAAGCAATCAAATTTAGACAGAGGCATTTTTCATTTTATTTTGTTTACAAACAGCTCTGTCAGACAGCCAATGCAAGGATGGGGTAATTATATGGATTTGGCCCATGGTTATAGAGTCTTTACTGGTTATGTGTATGAACTTGACAGACCATCTTAGAGCAGCCTACGTTTTACATCTATATGTCAACTGAGGACTCGGATGCTGTTAATTGGTCATTCTAGACAATAGAATCGTCAGACTTTCCCATGGTGTCCTCATTGTGCCATTTTACCGATCAATCAGTCCATCACATTGTAAATTTTAATCTCTTTCTCTCAGAGGTCCTATTAGCTTCTAGCCTCATTGAAAACAAACATATAAGCATAGTTGGTTTTAACAAGGCCATGAGGCACAGTAACCCATCTCACCCATTAAGCGGAAATGCCTCAACTCAACCACTGGAAAAAGGGGAGGGGGTAGGAGATTTTTCCAATCCTCCAGGGATGTCATTAATAGCCATTTCATTTAGTCTGATTCATTAAAAAAAATGCAATTTCCTGATGCAAGGAACATTTATAACAGTGCAGGCCACATAAATTGCCAGGGGGTTGTTACAAGTGTGCTTTTAAATTGTTGCTTTAACCAAAACAAATCTAGCAGCTCCATAGAGCAGTGCAGGGCGCCCTTTACGTACCCAACCATGTACAGTTCCAGTTTGAAGCAAATTATTAGAAACATGGTAAACCCCTTCACAGAAGCCACGAACCACAGACACGGGTTACATGAAAGAAAAAAAAAAGAAAAAAAAAAGCTGAAATAAGAAGCCATCCAGCAACAGACATCTTGGGCCACGTTAACAAGGGATTAACACGACTTTGAAAGCCTGTCTGCACATTTTGGAGATTTGGTAGAGTAAAAGACTTTTTCCGCTCAGTGTTTAATACCAAAAGGACAGCACTTACAAAATGATCAACCATGTCAACAAAGATGCAAAACTACATCAGGTACATCAGGTAACTCAAAAGTCCTGTCTTTTTTTTACTGTTGGGTGTTCTGTACCAGAATTGCAACACTTTAGTTTAGCACCACAAACGTATATACTGGAAGAGTGCATCCTTTTCAAAGACATTTTTACAGTTTGCTTTTTCCCACCCTCAGGAAGACAAAACCAAAAAATGATAAAAATTAATGGAAAAATATCAAGGAAAAAAATAAAAACAGCAATGCACTGACACATTCATAGATACATTTATCCAGTCGCTCAACCCTGATTAGTAACTGTATTCTGCAAGACATCCACGTTGCACAAGGAAAAATCAGTCTGCCAGTTGTTTTGTGGGACTCAAACAATGCAGATGTTAATGTTGGCTCCGGGTGAAGGTTCTATCAAGCACAGAGGCCAGCAATAGAAAATACAGCCATGCTGTTGACCCATTTCTACAAAAAGCCAATGGGCACATCTCTGCTCGTCAAATAGACCGGATCACTGGGATATCTATGCTATTAATACTGGGAATGAGAAGAAAGTCAGCCACGCCACATTCCAAAGTCCTCGACATTCCCACATATTAACAGGGCTCAGAATGAAATCCAATACTTGGCATCCCTTCCCTTCAAACTCCAAAACGCCATCCTGCCGTGTCAAATCGCTTTCTGATTTCATCTGGGAGGAACGTTCCAGAGTCACGAGCTCCCAGTCTAGCTAAAGACGTGTTATTATAAGTGGGAACAAAGTTGGCACTAGTAAAATCTTAGAGCTAGTTACCATGACTCTCAAGAGGGAAAAGATGCAGAAATTCTCAGAGACTGTGCTCCTCAAACACCCTGCAGTCTTGTCTTCTTGAGAGGATGAGCGATTTCCATCAGTAAAACAGAGAGAGATTGTTCTCTTGAACCAGTTTGTTTTCATACATGTTACAGCTCACAACTGCGCTCTCCGATTAAGTAGATGTGCCTTTGTCACCTTGCAATGATCTGACTTCTCATGCTTTGCACTACAATGTGAATGGCTACTAATCTTGCCTGGGTGAGAGGTCAACAGCTGCAGCATAGAGGACATAGGGCTTCTGGGTAATGTCTGGAATGCTCCGCCGAGACAGTTATAGCAAAGAAGACAGGAACAGCTCTCCAAAGTGACGAGCACTTTTTAAAATAGCCTGCGGTAATACTGTACTGAACTGAAGCACTGTAAAGAGGAGATATGCTTACACATCATAAGCCCCAGAAAGTGTGTCACTGGCACAAATACAATAGCAGCATTTGACACACACTGTGTGGGGACTTCCAGTGAAGGGGAGAGAGGACCAGCAACATTTTTCCTAAAATCTTCCAGGGTTCTGCCCCCCAGACACTGTAACTACTCTAATGTGAACACAACATGAAGATGATCCTGGCCAAAAGATCAGATAGTTGACGTCCAAGCAACTTTACAGAGCTCATCTCTTTTTTCTCTCTGTCCCTATCCTAATGAGCAGGCCATTGAGCTGCCAGTCAGCAGCAGGGCTGAAGCGATAAAAGGCCAACCCTTGCTTAATAACTCCCCCTCACACTCCCTCTAAGCCTGAGAGAGCAGTTCATGCATCCGTAATGGTCGATAAAATATGAAAAGCCCCGAGAGCGCTGACGGCAGCAGAGGGTGTATATGTACACTTTCATTAATGCTCTCCCGGCACGCTGAATCTTTTAGTACTGTCGCTCTGTTTGCCCCCCAGCGCACATGGATGTAGGAGGTCTTCCAGCAGACTGCAGAGTAAGCTTTTAATGTGGTGGAAATAAATACTATCTTGTTCACACTGCAAAAAGACATCAAAGAAAAACACACACGGCCCTTTGACTATATAAATGAGTTTTGCCTCTGGTTCAGTGACCTTAAAATGCAAAACAGCAAAAGGGATGAATTACATGAGTGTTACCGAAATAACATGAGTCTCGTGTTTTTTCATATTGCTTTTACTGCTGCATTAGCTGTATAAAAGTCTCCAGAAAAGAAAACATCACTCTAAAATGCTATATTATCTAGTTGGAAGATTTTCCATAAATAAAACTTATGCCTCAGTAAACCCTAACCCTCTTTACGTCCATCATGTCACCAACAATCCATCTAAGGTTAGGGTCAAGTTTGTTTTAGCCACATGCCAAACAGCCGGTTTCAAATGACATCTTACATGTTCTGGGACAAGTTGTTTCTTGCAAGGTTCTCATTTTGAGTTTTCTATGAAAATTCTTTTTTTTTTTTTTTTTTTTTAAAAAGGGGTAAACCTTCACCAAATCCCACACCTATGCCTAGTCCTAACCTTAACCTTGAGGGATGTTAAGAGACTAAGAAAAGATCCCTAATCAATTTCTTAGTTGGAAATTTGGACGGCTGGTGAATGAACTCACATGACCATGCTTTCAAAGCATGCAAAGGATTTACAGCTGACAGACGAGCCAAAAGAGTAAAGCTGGGTGTTTTCACCGCTCTGAGGGGCCATGTAGCCATGTACTGGCATCCCTTAAGGAAGCTTTGAAAGGACTGTCAGTTAAAAAGAACTGTCTTCCATACACACTCAGCCCCCAGTGTCTATAATGGGTTGCATGGGAGGAATATGGAATGGAAGATGACTGTGTGATTGATGAAGATGTGTGATCACTCATCATCTAGGTCCCAAAATAGCATCCATTTTACATATGATACTATCCCATCACCCTTCAGTCTTTTAAATGTGAACAATTCCCCTGAAATGTGCACTAGACATCTTGTAATGTGATTTGGTTGAAACTAAATGTTGATGTCTTCCAACTCACATCTGCAGCAGCAGCAATAACACTGAGCCTCCGATCATCCATGAAATCATGAAACTCCCAAAACTTCTAGAATCTCATGTCAAACTGAACCCAAAAGCATCACTATTAAGCCAAAACTGTTCCTTACACAGTGCAACAGCACACATGTGGGTACAGCAAGATGTCCTGTCAGCACCGTTGGAGAACGAGCCCAAACATCAAGACCACATTCATTTCACAACCCAACTTTTGCTCCCGTTTATGAGCTATAAAGCCACTGTAGTGAAAAACGATTGTAAAATACTGCCCTTCCCTCCAATCACAACAGCACAAAATGTGGAAACTTTATCACAGGGGAACAGCAGCCCTTGTTGCCCACCAGGTCTTTTCCCCCCCTTCCTCTCTATGAGCACTCCTACCTGATGTTTATTTTATTGCCTGCAGAAATCTTCAAATTTTCCTGCCTGGACTAAGCAGCATGAGCATCTGTAGCCTGTCATGGGTGAACAAGACTACCGAATAGCTAATACTCACAATGACCGGGAAGGGTTAAGAGTATCAGTATCCAGATCAAGTATCGCCTACTTACCCACTTCAGACCGGTTGCACTAAGAGATGAACCGTCTCTGTGTTGCCTCACTAGCAAATGAAAAAAAAAAAAGCACTCCACAAAAGAAAAAAAAAGTTAGAAGAAAAATTTAAAGCAATCCCGCATCTTCTGCTTCTACGCAACCGTTTTTGCTTTTTGGAGCTTCATGACCAAATTCCATGGGTTTGCAGAGTTTGACAGACGCCGTTTAGTTTCGTCTGCTTCACCTCTCCGAGCTTCTGAGCTGAGCTCTAGATTTCAGCTGACTGTGCTGGGAGCTGAGCTGTTGACATTGTCCCCGCTCTCTCTCTCTCTCTCTCTCTCCCCTCCCTCTCTTGCTCTGTCTCTCTCGCTCTCTCACAGTCTCTCTGTCTTTGGATTACTAATCTACCTTCCCCTCCCCTTCTGGATTCCAGCTCCAGCATATGACAGCATCCATGTGGATGTCAGCTAAAATGTTATGGATTTTCAGTGAATATACCATACATGCATTTACCTTATACTATAGTATCTGTGCGTGTCTGTTATGAGAGGCCATGGGAGAGGGCAAGCTAAAAGGAAATGACCCTCAACGGCCTGTGCTTCCTATGCCTGCCCGCAATTCCAACTCCACCCAACACATTTAGGTCTAAATGAGCAGTCGATGTAGGGATATCACACACAGTACCCAAAGGAAACCTCTTTCCTGCCCCGTCCTCTCATCTTTAACACATGCATAAAAGCACACACGCCCATAAACTGATGTGCCAAATATGGCGTTGTCCATTAGGAATTACCCCTTTGACACAGACAGGAAAAGGATTTCCCTGTGATTTAGTCATGAGTGTTCATTGAGAAAAAGGTGAGTCAGAAACCTTGATACACAAAGATCTCTTGGCTTGGTCAAGTTCGCAGTATAAGCTCAGCCAAATGTAATGTGTGGAAGGGTGGAAAGGAGCTGAAGGGTGGGGAGGAAATCAGCTGGAGGGCCACACCACAGAGGGTTCAGAGAATTGGAGTTCAAGTATGTTACTTGTGATAACATGAGTGGCAAGAGAGTGCGAACAAAAACTTCAAGACACCGGAGACTTCCTGTGAAAGACAGAAACCATCATCTCTTCATCTCCACCCCTCCTTACACCCAAACCTTCAGCCAGACAAAATAAAACACCTATGCAGCAGTTTATCAGAGTTTATGGCCCTCCCACCCTGCCCTTTCCCATCACCAACTGTGCTTCCAATGCTTCTAGCACCAGATTAACACCTGAAAATAAAGTCAAAGACCACAAAAATCCAAGTTTCATTAATTTATCAGCAGGGGGCCACTCTTCTAATTGCAAAAAACATAAATAAATAAAATAATATTACATCTAACATTACATTTAGAAGCACTACAGCTAACTGGAAAATTTACCTCAACAAAACATCTGTATTGTATGCAGCATGATATCTATTTAGTAAACTATCATCGCTTGTAGAGATAATTATATGATAAAGTATGGTATGCTTCATCATCACTGACAAGTCTGAGTATGAGCATTCTAAAGTGATCAATATGTCTGAAAAAACATTGACATGTCAATCGTGATCTTTAGACATCGACAGCTTCCTGACCACAACTGACTCATCAATACTATTGATGTAACTTTAAAGGCATGGGTCATGCAGACTGAGGTCATATGCCGTCGTCTTATCTTTCATGGGACTGCCTATCTGCTGACCAAGTTGGAAAAAGTATTGGCTTGTCTCTAATATTGACTTCAGTATAAATGCATGCATATACTGTAAATGAGAGCAAGTGACCACATTCTAAACAAGGACTGTTACTTGGGGGCCATTAGAGTATACCAAATACTTTTTCCCCCCAATCTATTTTTTCATTGTTTGATTTAGAAAAAAAAACAATCACATATTTAGATTTAGTGATAAAGGGCTGGCCTAGAGACCAGTCAGCAACCCCCGGCAACCACAGGTCAATCGGGAGAGGTGTAATGTATCCATTACACCTCCAAACAGTTGCCTATTGGTTGCTGGCAATTACTGTGTGAAAATGGTTGAAAAAAGGTATATGGTGCTGCACTAAAACCTCCTTGTCATTGCTTTGGTCACTAGCAGATTGCTGTAGTCAAACATAGTTTGAAATATGTAGGTTGTATCTAGAGACCAAAGCAATCAAAAGGAGTTCTTTTGTATAGTCAGCAACCATTTGTCTATTCCCTTGCGACCTGTGGTTGCAAAGGGTTCGCCATCCTGTCTCTAGGCCTACAGGACTGAACCCTTAGATACATTTTTGGCAATCAGCACATTTAAAATCCAGCACATTTGTTTTTTTATACTTTTGGTATTATACTTTTATATTTATTTAGATTCATTTATTATGTTTATTATACTCTCTGTGACAGAACCACCACCCACTGAAACTATTGTTTAGACATTCACACACTCAAACTGGAGCCACTGATATGCTAAAGAGTGGAGAAAGGGGCAGTCACAATAACATTTATCATCTTTCTCTAGGGACAGAAGACAGATGACACCAAATTGCTGGCGGTAATGCTTGGGTGCATTCCTGAAGAAGCCCTGGGGACACATCCATTAACCCAGCTGAGCGCCAGAACCAGCTTGTTTCCATGATGTTCACTAGTGTCAAAGTGACATTAGTTTGCATCACTTCTCCATTCCGTCTCTCTCTTTCGCTCTCTCTCTCTCTAGAGGGTAACTTCTCCATCACCAAAATGAGGGAAGATAGCCTATTCCTCCGGGGTTATTTGGGGTAAGCACAGGCTCCAGTATTGCTGAGTGTACCAGTAACCCTTGTATCATCCATCACAGCCTGATAATTGACGCAAATGGAATGGGCCTGGCATGCATGTGATAAAAATCATGGTCTCTAAAAAAGAGAGAGGGTGAAAGATCCAACAAGCTCTCTATTCCATCTGTTCTCCCTTTCTTTGAGGGTTTGCTGATTTTCATTACCCCTGAATAGCACACATGTTACAGGAAGAAAGAAAAGAGGAGCTTAGACACTCATGTGTACCTCCACATTTACAAATGACTCCAGATCATAGCTTCTACTAACTTGGCTTCAGTAAACCTCACCCTGGGATATTCATATCAACTCAAGCAGGGTTAGGCTTTACCCACAGTGAATGGCAAATGTCATGACTGATAAACCAGCTGCAAAGAGAGAGGCGGGGAGCTTTCTCCTCCGCTGAGCTGTGTGCTGCCAAAAGACACACAGCTACCCCTAAAATCTGCCTGTCACTTGTCAGTCAATTGGGCGAAACTTCCTGAGCTGCTTTCCAAATCAGTGATTCCCAATTAGGAGTACCCCAGGGAGTGGTAATGCATGACCAGGAGCTAATGGACAAATTATCTCAAGTATTGAAGGAAATCAAATGAATTAAAAATGAGATTTTAGCTCATTCAAGATAATTATAACTAAAGGAAATGAAGAAATTTGCATACTGAGGAATTTATAGAGATTGAAATGAGTGAAGGTTGATTCAAAAAAGGAACAGAGTAGTTGAAATCATTTGTCAAAAGTCTGTCTAACAATTAAAATCATTGGTCTAAACCCTTCTGTGCCCGCTATATGGAGCATTCATGAAGTAATATTTTAAGAAAGAATTCACCATCATATTACAGAAACAGTCACAGCCTGGCTAACAAGTGCTAAATTTAGTCAGAAAGAAAAAAAGGGAACTTGGCACTTGGTGTTACGCTGGACGAAAGGTGAATGGAATATTGGACGAGAAGAAGTGGGTCACCCAAGGTGGTCTCCTCCAGGCTCATAAACCACACTTTCTCCTGCAGACCCCTCTAACGTGCAGCAGCAGTCAAACCTGATAACAGCCAGAGAAAAGCCTGTAAAGAGGCATTTGAAATTACAGATATTGGCATCAGGAGGACTCTTTCCAGGGTTGTCACTGAAGAGAAGTGGCTGGTGCAGCGCTCCAAGCCAGCAGCTGCCAGAGCTAACATGGCAAAGGGTCATGCTTTATGATGTGTTGTTCCTTAATGTATTATTTAGGGCTTCTTTAGACCAGGCAGCTCTCATTTAACTGTATTTTGTTTAGGCGAGGAATTCCGTGTGACAGCACTTTGCACTTTCTTTCACACCCACGCAGAAATAAATTGCCCCTGAGAAAATACTTCTGCTGTTCAAAACCCTGAACTCTTGACAGCATAAATATGAGTGCACATTTTTATACATGGTGTAATTGTATGTTAGCTATAAATCATGATGCAGGGGAACGGTATACTATCCATCTTTCAAAAGCCTCTGCACAAAAGCAACCTAATCACAGCAAAGCAGTCAACCATAAATCTAACTTAAGTCACTTTGTTTTTATGGTGACATTTTTTCCTGCTCTTATTATTTATATCCCTGTTGCATGAATTCATGCTTTCTTCTTCTAGCTCGACTCTTTGTGGCTTTCCATCACAAATGTTTGACAATCCACCTGCTTTTACCAACTTCAAATGAGAGTAAACACGCTTTTCAACACAATTACCTCTCATTTGTACCAAGTGCTTTTTTCCCCCCTCTGTGTTCTGCAAAAGCAGTCTGTATCTGAATGGCTCTTTTGTTTAAAAGGCAGACTGGGCAGGGTCAAAGGTCAACCAACTGCCTGCTTCCACAGTGGCTCTAGTGTCTGCTTGGATATGTGCCAGCTACATGCTGTCATGTTTAGACAATGGTCTAGCTTTCCACTGACTGACTCATGACAGCTTCATCATGTTAACCAGTGATGTAATACCTTGATCTCTGGGCATGAAGGCCGTCACTATTGGACTTTGAATAACTTATAAATTATGTCATAGTGTAACCATAATGAAATGCGCCAATGGTGCGTTTCTTCTTCTTGACTGGTTAACAATTTCAGCTGTTTACTCTGGAAATATGCGAATTTAAGCTGGTACGTTAATTCACTTTTTGCATTTAATGTTTTTTTCCTTTTTTCCTTTTTAATTATTATTTTGTTTGTATAATTCTATTTGTGCTGTCTCAAATTTAACTCAAACTAACCAAGGATAGAAAGGACACTGCTAACTGGACCAGAGGAGAAGTAGAATTCTTGGAGCCATGGACATGCTGATTACCAGATGGATGCACTTTTTGAGTAGGGAGATCATTAGCCTTGCTATTTCTACTTTATCCAATTCCTAAGATGGGCAGGATGTTAAGCCCCAGTCTCACAGATTGAGACCAGCCAGTTACCCCCTGGCAGTCTATAATTTTTGCAACTTCCAGCAACCACTTACCAA